GTCCCCTCAACCAACTTCACTTAATTTGTCCAGTACATAGGTGTTTACTAGATCCCACGACTTACCTGCTACACAAGCACACAAGTCACGTGACAAACGCCGTTCCACCCGCAACCTTGACCGACTACAAGTCAGTTCGTGTTTAGTACGCACGGAACGATTCATATTTTATACACATCAAACTTTCCTATATATAGGAAGCGACAACACAGTCAACACGCACAGACTCGCGCGCGCGCAGGGAGCAGGACGTCAACCTCTCCACAAGTCCACGGACAATCATGGAACACGTGTAGCAGCCAAACTGCGGAGAAAACACGTTACCGCCGTCCGGACTTTCACCAAGGGACTCTCACATATGATAAGTTCCTTTATTGACTTGCTCCCATTTCGCATTGTATTCATTTTTATACGTGTCGCAACCATGTTAAAAACTTCTATTCACCTTCTGATTTGTATTATGGCTATCGCCACCTGCGCACTAATACCTTCAGGGAGATTCAAATCCTCGATCTTCTGGCTGGGAAATAAGGACGATTAATTCACATGAGTGATCCCTCCATTTGAGAAGTTATCCTCCGAGGGGCCCGTCAGTGCGCGGCCACAGAGTATGGATTTCGTGATGGAAGGATAAATAACCCCATGTCTTTTCCAAGTACGCGTTAACCACCGCGCTGATGGGCCGCTCGTGGTAGAAAGGTTTGATCTGCAGTCAGTACCTAGAAGGCCACACGTTTGCAAATCCCTGGAGATCCATGAGATACTCAATACTGATGAATCTCCGTGAGGATGAAACAGGTGTACTGTGTTTTGCGGCTTTTCATCACAGACTTTCAGTTACATGTCGAAATCTCACCTGAGAATCCCTAGATCTTACGGTAATATGAACAAATAAGGCAATTTGTTCGGTTCTGCGCGTACTCTGCTACTCCCTAAGGAGTGTTCCACGTAACTCTCTTTGTGATGCAGAATACCACACTCGTCCTCAGAGCAATCCCTTTCCTTATATTTGGCATTATTTTGGTGATTTTATTGGAAGTTTTTAAATTTGAGTGTAGTCCTATGTTGTCTAGGGGCTGATTCTCAAACTTCCACTTAAAACCCACCAGTATTGTTTCCGCGGTTATAGACCCTTCATTGAATTCTGTGGCGCTTGTGTTCGCCTTGGCACTGTCTACGGTTACACTGTTGTGCAACAGACTTATACCCTCTTTTCCAACTCCCACTTGGAACATCACGCTCATTATACCTTTCAACGTGTGGTCTTATACGAATGGCGAGTTGGGCTAACGGGACATTGCTGCAACCCTTCTGTTGGTTCATCTGAATGCCTCCACCGGTTCGTCCAGTTTGTTTTATGTCGGAATCGGCGGCTTTATTGAAACCCAAGATAGGCATTGGTTATAAAACCACGGTAATCAGCAGCCGGCCTGAGTATGATGGATTTACAGTAGGCACTAGCGTGGCTTCAAAAGTCGATGTACTAACGTCATCTGTCAGTTTCTTTACACCACAGTGTAATACCGCGCTGTCCATCTCCGCACTCACATGCAATTCTATCCGTCGGAGTCTGCCCGGGGAGATTTATTTCAGCTTGTGTGGATAAACAAGAGGTAAAGGTGTAGAAGAAACTGTTTCATCCGTTACGAACTACAGCGAAATTTCTTCGTATTACTTGCCAACGCTTTGCGGGTGACACATTATAGAAACTTTGCTGTCCCGCGAGTCTGCTTTTCATCATGCAGACTCGTTCGTAGGTTCAGCATCTCCATGGGTCTACTACTCACAACTCGTTTATGAAAGGATCGTTTATGTTCGAGAATCGAAGCAGCCTGTCTCACCGTGCGCCACTAATGGTTTTGGGCCAAGACCCCTGCCCATCATCAAACTAAATGATGGTCTCAAATAAATTACTGTTTTCTATCATCACCTGAGGTTTGCTTAACTATCGTAGATTTTGTCTTCCCAGACCTAAGAGACTAGTCCTTAACTGCTTGTAGAGCACTCGTTCGGGAGTGCGATCCGAAGACATTTCACACGGCCTGAACAGCCGAACAGAATACAGAGAAAGAGGTCTCGGGTTCCGTATATTTCTTCCTCCTGAGGAGTTCTTGTATCCAGTATCCAGTCTGACTAACGTATGTATGTGATCCTCTACGGATACTGCAGACGAAATCGGTCAGTCTTTTGAATATGACGCATCTATGCAGACTACATCCCACTGATGAACAAGGACGCAGACAATACGATAGCACAGAGCACCGCATTCTTTGTACCCACTGAGAGATAATGATTTTTCCAGGCACGTCTTTGGGTTCCTCAAAACGCGATGCTATTCTCCGGTATCCGGGTTTGATTCCTTCTCGTTTATTTGGTCTGGGTGGAAGGAGCCTACATATTAGGTCATTCCAATAGGTTGATAGAAAACAGAAGTTTGAAGAGTAGTCGCGTTTTGACTCGAACAGGATGCGCTGTCCACGAATATTATCGCTAAACACGAATATGCAAGTAGGACAACATCGTCAGTAGAAAGCAACATACGGACTCTCAAGTCACGTGGTAGTGGTCTGATTAAGAAACGTCTTAAACTAAAAAGGTGGCAATCCAGGAATAATCAAACTATGTTCAACCTTCTTATGATTGCATACAAGCTGAAAAAAACTAATGTCACCATGCGATCTTTTATCAGCCCGATGCCAGTATTGAAGTCAGAAGATGCAGTCCCACAAGATCGGACATAAACCCTCATTCCAAAGCGGAAATATTTGAAAAGACGAACTGTTTTTGCTTTGATCACCCATATTCCCCAGAACGACCAAAAATATCTCTCTGTTCACTTACTTAAGGCCATTTACGAAGTTACTCGGTATAATACATGGTGTTTTGTTACACTGCCGATATTCCTTTTGTATTTATCTCAATGTGGATATTAAATTAATGATGCACCTTCCGTTCCAGAATCCACGCTGCCTCTTTGGAAGTAACCTGTCAACAATACCCACGTTCATCCGGTTAGCCAGATTACAAGCCAACATTTGGCCAGCATTATAAATCGGCCTGACGCCACGAAAATTGCTCACCTTCTGTCTGTGTCCCATCTCTCTGAATACGGGCACTATGGTGAACTTCACGTGGTCATGTGAAACATCCTTGGCCTCCCACACTCAATGGATGGGAGGATTTATGTGAAAGTCTTGTCCATCATATTTAATCAACAGTTCGACGAGAGATCTTATTGGCTTTTATTGAGATCATTGTTTGTGGCTCTTGAAAGTTTTGAGAATAGTCCATGCAGTCCGTACGTTTCAGTCTGATAACCAGTTTAGTATAACTACCTGAGACCACGAATGCGTAAGACGTGATAGGAACGGGCGAAAAGGTTCATTAGATGCCTAAAATTTTACCGCGATAAGAAAAGTTCTGTGTTTAATTTCTTGTCAACCCTGAAGTCCGGACTGGTCAGCGTTTCTATAGTGGATGTAACCACTCGATATTTCGCCAGAAATGTAGAATTTTGTGAGGGAAATAAAACAGCTGGGCTATAAATTAGGAGTTAGAGTCATCTCAAACTCATGTGTGTGTACGTTTGGGGGCTATAAAAAGCATGTGCTTTCACCACATCTGAGTTTACTTGAAAATGAGCAAAACGAGGTGAACTATTCCCCGCTGGGCCGAAAACTCCAAGTATACCGTTTGTGTTCCCTGTCCCCTTCGCCCCAGGATTAAAAAAAACGAAAACAGATGAGACTAACCCCATGACGTGCACGCATGGGACCGACTTACCTATCACAAGCGAACTTTTACATATCGCTATCTGTTTATGCATCGAAGATCATCCTGGTTATTCAAAATTCAAAGCCACGCCATCGTTTACTTTTGTGCTGAACTCCTCAAAAGTATCGGAGTACAGAAAGCCATTTGGTGAAGTTTATGAGGTATCTAGCGGATAAGTAGACTGACCGGTTTTCGGTTTGTTTGCCGAGCTTAGCAGTTGGATTGCAGACGTTTCATTAAAAATCGAGGTGACATCGTCAGTGCGGAGTTGAATGCCACTGGCGATGACAACTCGATTGGTAACGAAACGTTTGCAATCCAACTGCCATGCTCGGCGATCAGACCAACAACCAATCAGCGCACCCCAGCTACCTATATTCCACAACACTGCCGAATAGACTAACCCTTTGGTGGACTGGATTTTTTGGGTAACCCCAATTTTTTCCACACACACGAGGGAATTCCCTCGATTTTTTGAAATTCTATTGAATTTCATCGAGGTTTCAGCAAACTGTTCACCAGCCCTAGTTTTGAACGCTGTATTGGGCCCGCAGGAGAATATCAATGCATCCCTCTGTGACTGTCATATGCCTTTATCTGGGATCATTTTGATTCCCAAGTGGACAACGAATCTGAAAAGGAAACACATTCAATAGGTATTAGATTTCTGTGTAAGAGAAGTTTATTGCAAGTAGTGAACTACCTCGTGAGAAATTTATGTTTGTAAGAGCACAATTCAAGTGCGACCGACGGTTTTGTGGTTTATTTGTCGGTTCTAACTAGACCTTAACTACCATGAGGTGCGAAGGTTTTGTAGTGACCTACACGAATTGCACGATTTTCATTTTTTAGGGAGATGAAAACTCTGGTCCACATTTCAAACTCATCGAACTTTTGGAGTTTGACAGGTCCGAACGTGCATTTAGATCGAAAAGCGTGAAACTTGAGACTGTTTCACCCGAATGTGCAATGGTACCTGCAACGGATACGGACACCTTCATTGTCACTTGAAGTGTGTGTCATTCTGAACAGTCGTGACGGATACACCCGGCCCTCCATCTATATATGTTTGGAAACGTTAGCAAACTTGACCCCCGACTCTTTGGATAGTCGCAGTCAGTTTATACTGGGTGTCAGGAGCATCACTTCCCAACAATACGCCAATGCGCGTCAAGTACTGCTCCCAAGTAGCCAAGCAGAAGCTATTAAAAAGACAACACTGTATCTTCATGTTCTACTCCACTTTTTATCGAATAAAAAATCACAATATTGCACAGTTTGGCTACAGGTGCCTTAGAGTTCTGCACATTTGAACTAACTAGTCCGATATTGTTCCGCGTTTGCACCCATTCATGTGAAAAGCTCAAGAGACTTCGTAATCCATAGGTTCGACTCCAGTTTCCCCAGGTTCTGGGTTTATTTCCGACCTCAGTTTAGCTCTCTGTAGACGCTTTATCCTCCACTTTCTTCTGATGCATACGGCTGTGGGGACGATTATGGCTGCCAGCACGATAAAGCCGAGAAGAATCACGATGACGATAAGTATCCAGTCAACTATTCAAAGCAAGAAAGGAAACGGGGACTAGCCAGACAGAGTTATTGTACTTTTAGGTTGTCTAGTGAGGATTAAACGTGACGTTCACCACCATGTTTGCATAGGAGAGGGTTGCGCCCGGAAAAGTTTTTTTGTTTTCAGCTAACGACGATGACCTTCAGAGAACTCTTTGGGTGCTTGAAAACCGTTGGTATTTATTTCATATTAATGAGAACAGATTAATCAACCGCTTGTTAGGCTAATAGCAGTACCAAATTACATTCTATTTCAAATGTACCCACGCAGAATAAGACAGACACTGACCATAATATTCGACACTGAAAGATGGAGGTCGCTTTTGAGATTTAGAGGACCAGTTGTTTACCAAAATACGAATACCAATCTAAAATATTCAAACTAGGTGAAAGTTCGATAGATGAACAGTGTATGTGAACAAGTTCGCTTTTTCCACACGCACTCATGTAATTTCGTGAAATGACATTCGCTCGTCTGTTGTCATCACATCAATGTCAAAACTTTCATTTCACGATTTTTCGGAAAAGAAACTAGGGTGCCTCAATAACCTTTTCTTACATAAGAGCATTCGTATCCTCGATTTAGCAGAATATTCTGTCTTACTTGTCCACAGAATCCGAGAACATAGCTCAAGAGGAACGTTTGACACCAAATACTAATTTTACCTCCACATCACCTTCATTTGAGCAGGTCTTCTCCTGTCCTGGCTCGCGTATTCCCGTGAGTCCACACCGAATGAGGGGAAGCACTGGACTCTCATTAGAGCTACTCAGCAATGCATATCCTTACCCTTGTCTGGTCTTGAATTCCGGACGTGGGTGTTCCTATGCAGTTGCAGAGGGCGCAATGAAGTGACTTTATTATTATTATTTTATTATTTGTTGTCGGAAAACAGTGCTGAAAGTAGCCTGCTATATTTGTCCAAAAATCAATACGGATAAATAGTTAAGTCTTTGAGACAGAAATATGTTCACGTCTGCCCAGGTACACCCGTGAAGCTCATAACGTTTTATTGTTGAGTATTCAAATTTTTGTAAGTTAAACGCTAACTAGTAACCAATGTGAGTCGAGTGACGCATTACCCCAACTGGCTGGCCATAAAGATCACTTGGCATTCAATTGGCAATATTTCTCGGCGACAAGTGTTTGATGGTGTAATCTTCAAAGTCACTTAAAATGCTATAAGCCATAATTGAGGGTGAATTAACGGCCGGTGGCTTTCTATGATACTCCAACTACCTACATGATGATTGAAACTCCTAGACCCTAGACATGTGACCAGCCTCACTAATCCGCAGAAACCATCCACCAATGAATGCAACCATGGACAACAATGTGGTGCATGTCGAAACATTCTGCTGCGGTGGACTAAAAAGTCAAACCTACCAACTGAACAAATAAGCGCGATTATCCACCTATCGCGGATAAACGCCCGTATAATACCATTTCCTTGGATTAGGATCGTTAACTTCAAATGGATTCCAAAAAAAACGCTATGATGGCATTCCATTTACTTACTACTTGCTTATTTGCTTGTTCGCAAACTTAGTTGTCACTGTTCACATATTGAGGGGCGACGTTTTCTCTACTTTAGGGTCAGTAGAAGCCTAGCTTAGCTAAAAAGTCCCGAAACTTAAAACCTCAGCATGGGTCATCGGCTAGTAGGTAAGATAGGCGCATTGGATTATGTACCTGTGCTTTTGCGTGCTGGATCTAACGAATTTTTTCCAAAGAGAAAGTTACTTCAATTTTCAGTCAGCCCCTGAAGCGGGTGTGCGTGTTTTACAAGATCAAGTGCACTTTGGGTATAAAAAGCTGCGTACTCTTAATGATACTCTTGGAAAGGGAAAACTGTTTGCCCTTACGCACAGGCAGCAAGCTCAACAGTTTTACTTATGATAAGCCAACTTTGGATTACAAATGCACAAAATGAAGTACTATTGTTACCATTCATTTCTTTTGCGTGTTATTGAGGGTTCTGTGATTTTGTCAAAAACTACTCATATTCGTGGAGTCTTATCTCCACATTGGTGTCCAGTTCCAGATCTCGTCTATTCTCGGACACTTTCGTAACAGAACTCTACACAACTTAGGTGAAATTTGGCCACTTTACCCATTATTTTCGGTGTGGGCAAAAGTGACTCTAAGCACAGCACATTCAGACCAACAAAATACTAAAGCAAAAATGGTTATAACTTGAGTTGATTTGGACACCAGTGCTTTGCTGCAGGTCACTGTAGAGCAGCTGTATCTGAGAACACACCGGAGACCTGAGGAAGCGTGTTTACTGGTTTCAGGGAATATCGTAATGAATGGAATAAAATCGCGCCCAGAAGCTCCCACCCTGCTGAGGTAAAAATTTGATGCCTCGCCACGATGTAATCTGGAGTGAATGTGACTTGAATGGTTTGACAGACAAACGCATGGTCACCGATTCATCGTTCAAATGGAATCGACTTACGATTGCATATTCCGGAGGTTTCTGCATTGGCCTGCCTTACCAGAGTGTAGAACACATTGCAAACACAACCTTCCTGAAGGTTCGAATCAATTTCGCACTCTCCATTGTCTCCGCAGTCAAGCAAACAAGGCAGATCTGTTTTGAGGTGGAAATGTGAGTTTCAGAGAAAAGGTATGGCAGCAAACACAACAGTTAGTCGTAGAAAGACCAAGTGAAAAAACGTCTATCCACTGCCTCAGTAAGTTGACTGCCACATTTTGCGATTTTCCTATCGTACACCTAACGATTTTAATCCGATAATCCAATCCTGTTGATATTTTCACTTAATTACTGTTCGAAAGACTGATTTGAGGCCAACATGGTCACTGGAAAACAGACAAGATCACTAGTAAATAATTCATGTATACAGCGCAAATTCTCAGACAATCAACCTGAGGTACGCATCACAAGTTGTGGACCAACAATGCAGAGTTGATGTCAACTTTGGGTGTGATGCCATACAGGTGCAAAAAGACAAATGGTAGGAATCTCTTTCGAACAAAAGCAATAAACATGATTGCCTGAGTGATGTTTTCTTCACCGAACAGGTTTAAGAGATTTGCATGCCACGACGAAATCCCCTCAAATTTGGACACTCAAAAGTTGACAATACTTTTCATCAATATTACCGGTTTCAGCTTTCAACGCTGGCGCATTTCTGGCGAGCTACTGGAAACTAGAAAACCAAATGCGTGTTTTTATTGACTGACTTTTGGTACGCCAATCCAAAAGATGTATCCAAACCCAGTTTCAAAGTTCTCCCTGTCCTATCATCTTTGCCTAGCTGAACGTTGCAGCATCGATACCAAAGCGCTTGATTCCTTTGAAACCAGTAGCCATCCTCTGTTTTGATCTATCAGTACTCGCTTTACTGGTGAAGTTCGGCTTTTATACAAGAACTTACCAAACCCGTTCTTCGTCGAGGAGAGTCTAAGTTGCTGCTTCAAGTACTATGGATATGCCGGCCGAGTGAAGAAAAATTCTCACTGTCCTCACACGCATTTCGAAGCTAATTAACTGACTAATCATAACACGGGAATCGCTGCTCTATGTTTGTCTGCTCCCCGCTGAGCTTGCTCCGAAGGCTAACTCTTAGGGGAAAATATTCCAGTCAGTTTATCTCTCATTTTTACTAAGCCGTACAAGCCAGGCCACCACAAAGTAGTGAACTTTATATATATATATATATGGCCTTCTCATCTTCAGTGGTAGTCACTGAATGTTTGCGCGTATCCCAGAAACTATAAGCCCCTTCTTTATGTCAAATCGCGTACTCCATTCTGTTCAGTTCAGAAAATCTTTTGTAAGGAATACCAACGATCAACAGTTTAAATCCTGACGCTCTATTTGTTTCAGATTCTGAAGCTTACAGGGGGGCTTAGGGCTGTGGTGATCAAGAAGTAGGCCCTGAAAACTCATCTCACCATTGCTTCATAATTTTTCTCACTAAAACTCTAGTCCTACTGGTCAGTAATTATGAGATTCAGGGGTATTTCATGCTAATTACGGCTTTTTGGTTCCAGTCAACTGAATTTTGAGTAACCTGATGCGAATAATTATTCATTTCGTATTATTGTTCTCCACGTGTCGTCCATCTGCATTCCATTCTCAAGTGATGCGCGGTGAAGGTTTGTGATGCAAGACAATTCCAGTTCAGTTTATTGGAACCAGTCGTGATACATTCATTCCACCTTAATCGATTTCATCAATCCTCCGGTTTGTTGAAGCATTGGTACTTGAACGTTTGGTTCATTGGCTGTACAGTTGAAAGTGACAGATAAACGTGGAAATATCTAAACTTCGTTAAATTTACTGGCCCTGTCAACACAAAGTAATGGCTTCGAACTCCTGCATCTTTACAACTTGGCAACGCTGGCTCACTGGGTTCTGTCCCTCATGCGAAGTTCGGATATGGTTTTGGAGAACTATTGTTTAACATATCGGTACGATTAATCTAAGATCAACATGAAAGCGTGGAAGCTGAGGACCGATGCAGAGGTACATGTAGATCAAGTGACAGGGAAAGAATGATGAGTCCACTTATCTGACTCGTGAATGTCAATGGATTTAACAGACAAATGTCCAGAATGAATCTAGACAAATTCTAAGCAGATACAAATTTACGCAGCATAGCCGTAAACTCGTCATTGCAACATGCACCAGCGACTAGAAGACGTCCTCAAAAGTCATCTTTCAACCCAGAACTGACTGGTCAGTTCAAACTACAAGTCACCGATTGCTGTTTATTAGTAGCGCGGTTGTCAAAAGAACGCTTTGCGCTGATGAGTTGTAAGGCCATTTAGGAAGTGCTCGTTGGGGGAAATGAAGGCCTGTACGTGCAGAAACTTCATCAGATTGGCCCGTTTGCTGCAGCATCATCCGACTGACAACTTACAGGTTCAGCAAATTGAAATGTAAAGAACTGTGAATTGGAATTTCCTATACTAAAGCTTACTCGATTGGTGTTCAAGGAATCTGTTTCGGTGAACCCTCAGCCGAATTTCACTCCAGTTCTGTGCGCAAATATGGTATGTTATCAGCAGAACTAACTACATTCATGTTCCTGAATTTTGGTCACAACGTTTTAATAGGCTTTATGAGCCGGTAGCATGAGCCGAAAGGTGGCCACATATGTGGCATGTCAAGTTTTTAATATCACAGTTATTTATATCACCCATCCATATGCTGAAAACCGTGTTCTTACTTAGGAAGACCTCCAACGTTAGCTCCCTCTTTAGATATCGTTGTGAATGTCTTGTACTGAGGAGTTTGAGTGTCGTTCTTGTTCTAAATATCCCCTGCACCGTAACCTCCAGAGAGCAGACCGGAGATATAAGCCATCTTTTAAAACTATTGGTTTGATTACTTGCGACAAACTGAAGAATTCGTGGAATTCATGTACATATCAGCGTTTTTTCACCAGTCATCTTCCTGTCTTGGCATCATTTTTCGGAAAAGTTTGCACGAGAGCGGAGATGTAACGGGCTAGAGATTTTTCCCATTACAACGATGCAACTTTTTGGTCGTTACATTCTTTGCTTTGCACCAATCAAGTTGTGAGAGATGGTAAGTACTAAAAGCCTGCAAATTCCCACATATTGTCAACTAAAGCATCTATCAGGCTTGAAACCTCTTGACGTTGCCTGATCGGAGGGTTTTGGGTGTTCGTTCACTTGATCGGCCAAGCCAGAATATTTAGTAAGCCACTTTTTGATGCGTCTGGCAAACATATCATACCGTTCAAACCGCGAACTCATTTGCCTGTCGTGATAATTTAGGTGCAGCGAGTGTTCACTGATCGGGCGGCGGTAATAGTCTCGAAATATTTGCGGATAGGGTGCGTTCACTGGTAATTGATCTGGGAACATCAACACTGGGTGGTTTGCGCACTGATAATGTTATGTCGAGTGGTGACGAGATGTTTGCAAGCCATTGGTCGAGCTCAACAAACACACCAGCCGTAACCCACATGTGCTTCGGGTGGTACGACAGATAGGCACCGAAAGTGTACTAATGCTGGACGATTATCAGTATTATTATTACTATTACCATTTTCATGTCACATGCCCAGAGTTCGATCCCGATCCCTACCAGTGATATGCATTGCTGATGGACTCGAATAAGAACCAAACTCCAGTTTATTTCTTCATCCAGTTGGCGTGAAACATCCGGATTAGTCATATCAAAGCAGCGGGGCGGAACGCTAGATAAAGAGCGGCGCTCCCAAATTCGCAAATCTCGCATCTAATCGCATGCAATTCAGAAGTAGGCGGCTTACGTCATAGATGACCGTAGAGCACAAGCTCCAGTGAAATGGCACTGAATGTACTTCAAAGCCTCATGGAAGAAATGGTACAGACCATTTGGACCATGATGTTACTGTTGAATCTAACTTGACCTTATGATAATTCCCCCATTCATTTGTTTACTCCGCCTATGTACTTTTGATCTCCAGTTATTTTGCTTATTCGTACCCGGCACTCACCTTGCCGCAGAGGCCGTCCTTCCCAACACTTGTGTATTGACATGTTTGTCTGTGTAGGAATGTGCGCTGCTGACCTACTTACCCATGTGCGTTCCTGTCCCGTTTGTTGAGCCTGCCTTGACTTGTTTTCTCATGGGCTCCGCGTGATCGCACGTCCAATGAGAATTACAAGACCGTCGTCGGAAGGAACGACCGCAACCCACGCTACTGAACCATCATTCCGCTCGCCGTTGTTTGGTGTGCGGACGTTGACACTACACTGCGCAGGTCAGTGACAGACCTGTGAACTTGCTGACGCTACGAACGTGAACATTTGAGGTTTGTTGTACACATTTGCTTACCCTTGTGTAAATAGTACCGTAGAATTACGAACCCAATTCTTCCTTTTGATATTCAGGATTGTTGAACCTATGCGTCACTCAAAGTTCCGTATCGGGAACCTCAGCAGTTACTGCCTGAATTCCCCTCACAATTACTTGTTAGTCCACCAGACACAGGCATACACATATGTCACGGCATCACAAATGGTCCAGACATCAACTCTCACTGTGAGCTTGTTGTGCTTTAAGTATCTTGGTGTATTTCCTCATTTAACTTCCAAGCTGTGCTTCTAGCCATCGTGCTTTACTCGCTGCCTTCGAGTCTGCTCGAACCAACCTCCGGTCATTTTCTGATCAGACTTCTGCAACTAACATTTATACCAGGCTATGGCCGGGCAAATGAAGGCAAACTATAATTACGGTCAACTGCTTCGTGTTTTGTGCAATTTCACCTCCCAAAAGTCTTGCTCTGTGTGCAGCTCATAATCTTTCGTTCCTTAAACTTCCTTGTCTGGATGGCTTCGAGCTGTTACATACGAGGCTTATTTGTGACCTGATGTATCGCGACTGCTCATAACAACTGGAAATGCAACGGACTTTGATCGGCATACAGGCGATATTTTGTGCATTCATCAAGGTCGTTCTGGTCACCGAAAACGTTCACCCTGACCGATATCGTAACTACTGTATCATGTGATACCGGCTATCGTGCCGGACTGCTTTGGGGGCTGTGCTACAAATCCATCCCTCCTCAGAAGAACACTAGTGAATGTATAATTGTTCCGGGCACCATACTCATGCCTTAGACCAAATTGGGCCAAGCTTAACTTCCCAGAAATTCCGAGTTTTATCTTCGCTGGTATATATTAATGAAAAACGTGCTTCAATGAATGGTTATTGTTTCACGTTGACACTTCTGTAATAATTCCTTCTGAATGTCACCATAACCACACTGAATGTTTTCCCGCAAATCACCCGGTGATCATGAGCGACAGGTTTGCAATCAGCGGATGCCACAGTCATTCATTACAAGGTTCGTGGACAAATGGAGCAGATTAGAACCAACTGAAGCCCCAAGCCAGTTTAAAGCAAACTTCCACGCCCACTGTGGACGTCCTGCGTCTTGCCTGAGCTCGTGAAAGAAATAAAACTCATGATCAAGCGTCCAACCAAGGGCAACAGGTTTTGCGGAACTGCACTTTCTAGAATCGAATGAGAACATATCAGTCTTTCTCTGTTTGAAACCAATTCCCATTCGATGATCACCTAGTGTATGCTACGCCACTAAAAGTGCTTACTCCCTTAAAAAACCAAAAACTCTCAAGGTAACTTACCTTCTGGTGCGAACGGTTCGAAATTCATGGGCTGCTTCGTTTTTGATAACTACCTGTAAAAATAATAGAGGTTGCAATTTTGGATAGATGATTGCGACCAGTGTAGGTAATTCACAATGTGGTAGTGAAAAATAGGTCATCATCATCATCATTGACAGCATGACATCAGTGTTCAACACCAATGTTTCACTGCCGTACAACCATGACTTATTTGAAAGCCTTATTTTAAAGAAAAGAATAAAGGTGGATGGTGGAGGGTCTCAGTGCTAGTTTAACACAATCATTCCGAGGTGCCTACACCTCCAGACATTCACTCAGGCAATCTGGATAGAAACTGACAACAAGAACACCACTGA